GCATACCAAGACCAAGACCGGCTTGGCTTTTGGCTTTGCTTGTCTTAATCTTTGCAAAAGCTTTTTTCAAATTAGTCTCAAGGAATTTCGAGTCCGCAATTTATTTAGATAAAAGCCAAAAATATGTGTGTGGCAGAAGCCAGGCAAAGACAAATTTCTAACCACAACTTAAAGTTTCGGTGTGCGGCGAGGGATCAAAACTGTTTGCACTCATATAATAAAAATGTATATAAATAAATCTAAAGAAGCCTGCCAATCAGACAACCTGTCTGTGTGGCTCGGGTGTAGCTTTGTGTGTGCTGCTGCTGCTGCTGCTGCATTTTGGGTTTCCTGTTCACGTTTGATTGCGGCAAATTCATCAGAAAAATGTGAAAAAACATAAACAAATTGCTTGCGAAAATGAATTAATACATATTTGTGTGTGCATATGTATGTGTGTACATACATATATTTAGATTAAATGCAATCGGAATATTGAAATTAAATTGAAAACCCAAACACACAGCGCCAAAGAGTGCAACACTTTTCCAGCTGCCTCCCCTGCATCCCCTTCCTTCCATCTTAAATGGGACTAAAAACTGCTCTCAAGAGCATTTAAAAATATTTTGGCAGCGGGTGCTGTCTGGAGCCTGGCCAACATTTCTATTTAGTGGTGCTAATGCTAATGGTTCTTGGCCAGCCAACGTTTCGAGAAAACAAAAGCAAAAGAAAAGCTAGAAAAAACTAGTGCGAAAATTTCATAGTGTGTCTTCAGTTCTTCCCATTTTCCATTTACCATTTTCCATCTTCCATTTCCTGTGCTGCATTGTGTAATACCCGAGTTGTGGGCGGAGCAGCTGCAATTTCAAGTGAACCGAACCCGGCACACAGATCAGCCTGCGATTTGCCTTCCAAATGCATTTGGGGTGACAAGTTGCTCCAGCTCGGAGCACACAAGCCAAAGTCTGTCGAATGCAGGTGGCCTGATGACAGCACAATGGTGCAGCTGGCTAAGGGAAAGCCGGTGCATAGCTAAGGGGAAAGCCACCACACAGAGGCACGAGCGACTGCAGTCGGATGCTGGAAGTTGTCCTTTGGCAAGCTCAAACACAAAATGAATATTTGCCTCTGAAAGCACTGGTAGTAGATGTCCGAGTATAGCATGTTGATGCAAACAGAATGAGCAGAATGAGCACCCGAGCACCGAAAATATGGTAACTGGTACTGGGTCTGGACTGGGTGGTCTTCTGGCAGCATGTGATAGCAACAGAATTGCCCAGCAAATAATTATGTACGTGGTGCAGTGCTCATCTCTTCTCGTCTCGTCTCGTTTTGTTGAAATTTTTCATCACTTTGCAGCAAATATTTACACAGCAATTAAATGTTTAGCTCAGGTGTTTGACTGTGTGCCTTTCTCTCTCTCTTTCTGTGTGTGTGTCTTTTTGTTTGTGCCGAGCAAATACTATGACGTTTCAATGGATTGAAATCGACTTTGGATTGGAATTTCAAAAAGCATTTTGTAAGCTTCTGTCAAAGACTGATTGCCCTTATGGCGCCACCGGTTCGGCATGTGCGTTGTCAACGTTGTCGCAAAATGTGAGAAATGTGTGCCACAAATAAACAAATCAGGTGCCGGACTGCTCTCTCATCTCCGCACGGGCCATTCGCCTTATAATTTATGACAAGCCGGAAGCAGGGTAGTGAAGCCCTGCCATGCCATGCCATGCCATGCCAAGGCAGGCGAAGTAAGCCCCGGAAAAGTCTCTGGAAACTGAAATATTGGTCAACATATTTTCCCCCTTTCTTTCTGTTTATTATTTCAGTCCCACTTTTGGGCTGGCAGCCGTCCAAACCGGGGAACAGGTTCTGGAGTGTTTTTGAGAGGCAGCAGCAGCAGCAGCAGCAGCAGCAGCAAAGTCCCACAAATAAAATGCTGAAAAGCCAGGCCCAAGCTGGCAGCTAACGGGAAGACTCTGGGCATAGTCCGGGCGTACTCGAATAGCCAGTATCCATCCATAAATATGCCAAATCACTTGTGCGGCCAATTGGCATGGCTCAATTCGCTGTTCACCTGGTTTTGGCCAGTTTCGCTTAGAGCAATGGCTGGATTATTGTTTCTAATTACAGCTTATTCCACAAACAAACAGATTATATAAAAAGTTGCGGTCTATTTTTACTGCTGCTGCTGCCGCTGCTGCTGCTGTTCGCGATAGTTGGCAAAAGTAATTAAAGTTGAACAGCCAGAGGGCTTTGCACATCATCGAGGGGTTAACTGATATTTGTTTTGGGCCGCCATCCATCTGTGAGAAATAATTAAATTTTTTGTTGCGCCCTGATTTTATCATTTTATGTGGGGCGGGGCGGGGGGTAATTCTATTCAAATTACTGCTGCCCGATGGTGAACGATGATGCATTACCGTAATGTACATACGTAATAGCGATTGATAAAAAGTTGACACATGCTTTTTGCGAGATTTGTTTTATTGTGATTAATTTGATAACTTTGTTTATTGCAGGGGAATTCCCATTTGAGTCTCCCGTTGGTTAATTGCAATGTCAGGCATCACGAGTGCATTCAATGATTTGTTTGTGAATGCATATTCATGTCATGTCCTGCAGCTATTATGCCACTTGTCCTCTGCCTCTCACTTGACTGCGCTCGCGCCACCTGTCTTTCGGTCTGTCTGTCTATCGGTCTCTCTGTCTGTCTGTCTGTCTATCTGTCTGTATGTCGGTGGCGCTATGTTCGTATAATGAACAAACAGATGCCAGCGGCCAAGCGGACAAATATTATGGCAACTGCTTTCATTTAAAGCAAAGCTCGGCCACCCATTATACATGGGACAAGCTATTGAATTTCTCTGCGCTGCTGCCGCTGTTGCTGCTGCTGCGTTATCTATTGCTTATCGCTCCCTCTGTGGCGTGCGGCATGGCGGCATACGGCGTGCCCATCAATGCGTATACGAATAGCAATACATTGGACCGGCAATGAGTTTGCACTGCTGCCAGGTTGGGTTCGCCAGATTGTGGTGGTGGGGGGTTATTTGTCTTTAATATGCAAACAGTAAACTACAGCCACAGCTCATCACAGAGTCCATGTTTGTGTGCGTTCGTTCATTGCGTGGCTTATCGCTTCGCAACCCTGCCCGTGCCGGGGTTCAATCATAACCGGAAGCGGAAGTTAATTGTGCACATGTTTAATGCAGTCAATGGCATGGCTGATGGCTGTTGGCTGTTGGCTGATGGCTTAAGCGCTTTCCGAATCTGACAACAACAATTAGCGAATGCAAATATTACTTGCAACGCGTTTAGTGGCAAGAGCGTACAGTCCCAACCGCCCCCACCACCCAAAAAAAAAAGACAGCCTCAGGGGCAAACCATGAGCCATGTGCAGCAGGCGGCAAAAAAAGTAATTTGTCGCTAACCAAGTGTGTACTAACCTCATTTTACTAAAAGCATTAAAAATAAAATGTAATCACATGCTTCATAAAAGTAATAACTACGCATACAGTCACACAAGCACACACACACGGGTACACACACACACATACTGACACTCTCTCTCTATCATAGACAGACACGAGCGCTTCCTGCACTTCAGAACGTGGCAAGCGACTGCCTCACTACGTGTCGCTATAAAAGTCCTCGAGCATGTGCATGTGTGTGTCATTGTGTGCTCTACATACGAGTGTGTGTGTGTGAGTGTGTGTCACTGCCAAGAAACATGGAAGCCATGCCATTGTCTATGTCAAAGAACTCAGGACAGTGGCACAGGCACCTGGCACTGGCACATCCCATGCATTAATGTGCGTGAGAGCACATCTGATTTTTATGAGACGATTATGAGTTGCTTTTTATTATTTGCCATTCGTGGCAAAGTGTTGTGGCAAGAACATTTGCCGTTAGATTGTGTTTCGATCTAGACTCTAGTAGCACAAACTCAAGCCCTTGCCCCATAGTCCGTGTCCGGCACAAGTGCTTGCCCCATTCTCGAGCATTAATTAGTGTGAATTTGCCGAAGCTGCCGTTGAAGGTGTGTCATCAGAAAAGCTTTTCTGCTGCAGCTTGGAAAAAGGCAAAATATTCCCAATGATGCTGCACTCTGTCTGGCAAATGCTGATAAATGCAGTTCCGATGAACGAAAGGCTCAGGGCCAGCAGTGTACAAATTTGCCTGATTATTGCCAGTCAAATGTCAGAGAGTCAACAGGAAAATAGAAAGATAGACGGGTGGAAAGAGAGATTGCCCTGTCATGTTGCATATGACAGCAAACAGTTGCAAAATACTTCGAGTGGCTGCCATTGATCTGAGGCTAAGGTTTTGATTGAGGATTCTGTTTTTCTCAATTTTAAAGTAGTCCCTCAATGAAAAATTGCTGCTGATTAACGAAGTGACCTACAAGTATGGGATTTGCCGCATGACCTGAGCTACGTTTCGCTTCGATTTATCATCATGTCGGGGGCCCATGACTCTGACTCCGACTCGGACAGCTACTCGTGCGGACATATGAAGAAAGTTGGTGGCATTATGCATGCCCACTTGCGCAGGAATCTGTGCGTGGCAACAATTGCCAGAGGGGCAAACTTCAAACACACACACACCACCCACACACACACACATATCGTATAGCTAGGCCCATGACAGATTGGCCATGCGTGGCAAACAAACCCAAAACATGGACCAGGACTGGAAACAAGACCCTCCCTTCGACAACGGTCAGTGGCCGATGTGGACGAAGTTTATAATAGAATTTTTAAGCATGAATAATTATGTGAAGAAGACTTTTAGCCAGCTGCTGCTCCTCGGCTGCTTGTGCCGCTGCCGCTGCCTCTCCCGCTGCCTCTCCCGCTGCCTCACCCGCTGCCTCACCCTCTGCTTTTGGTCTGGCTGTGATTGGCCGTTGTCCTTTTCCTTTTTTGATTATGCACGAGCAGCCATCAAATTTGCTAATTAAGTTAATTGACTTTAATTTAATAAGCACACGGCTAGACTGGCAAACAGTTTGATGCCCTACAATCGATTCAAACTGGGGCATCCGCTGCAGCAGCCTTTAAGGCCAGTTTGCTGGAGCTGCTGGCATTTAAATTCAGATTGAACTGAATGCCAATCACAATGTAGCTGATCACGCCAAATAGGAACTATAAAAAGGGAATTGAATAGAGAATATTTGCATATGGAAAGCTCTGCTCACCGTTCCCAGCATTTCGGTGCTGATGTAGGCGAATCCTCCGGCACTGAACTGATACTTCTCCTGCCCCAGCTGGATGCAAATGCGGATCAGTGCGGCATTCAGCTGTCCGTTGCGGCGACCCGTGGCCAGACTGTAGAAAATTGAGCGGAACTTTCGCTGCATGAGGTCACAGCGGGAGCAGAGCCAGCAGGGCACAATGATTTCCATCAGCTTGCAGAACTCCTCAATGGCACAGTCTGCAAGAACCAAAGAACCAAAAGAAGTTGAAGGCAATCATACGGATAAGGATACCAACAGTATTGGATGGACACTCTTGTGTGCTGGATCCTGCTCAGGTAGAGCCAGTAGGGCAGGGAAGCCGTATCCACGAAGAACTTCAGCAGCATGAGGGACAGACTGCGCTGAAAGTTGCGCTCGATGAGGCGGATCGTTTGCCAGAGGCGGCCGTGGATACGCTGCAGGCGGGAGAGCTTCTCCAATGTGAAGCGGCGCTGGGGCCACAGCTCGAAGCGGGTTAGGTGCAGCTCCACCAGGAGACTGGAGCCAGTCGAGCAAAGCTCCTGATGGAGCACCAGCACCACGCCGCAGTAGAGGCTGAATTCCGTGAAGCGCAGCAACAGCACCAGCTCCGAGTACATGGCAGAGTAGACCATACCTTCGTTGTTGTACACAGCCGCGCCGAAGAGCATCAGGAATCGGCCGAGCAGCGATCCGTAGATGGCCATCGAGTAGCGGCGTATCCGCTGCAGGCTGCCCTCTCTGCCCAGGTGGACACGCAGGTCGTGCAGGATCTGCTCCATTTGCTGCTCGATTTCCGCGCTCCGATTGCCCCAGAGTATCTCCATCCCGATGGTGAAATGGGTGGACATCAGGGCCACGAAGTTGCTCAGATCGATGGTGCGGGACATGTGATCGTTGAGGAAGTCGTAGCTGAACTCATAGTTGAAGCTGAAGCGCCAGAAGATGGCAATGCTGATCACGATCACCATCACCAGGTTGCACACAATTTTCAGATAGAAGTGCTGCCCGAGGGGAATTATGCCCAGGCACTTCATTGCCCAATGCAAGTGGCGCAGCGAGCAAGAGTATAATTGCCCCGACATTTGCCTCATGACTGCCACTGCCAGTGGCACTGCCACTGGGACTGGGACTGGCCATTGGAGTGCACTCGTATCGTTGGTCGATTATTTAATTCGCTAATTGACTGACTTTCAATTGCTGCGAGGAGTATCAGTATCGCCGTCATCTCAACAGGACGAGTGAGTATTCCATTAAAAATATGAATTTGCTGTATCCGATTATGACATTAATTTATAAATGTAAATGTTTTGCTTATGTAATTTCTCACCCTCTGAACTGCGTTGTGGCTCCTTTGAAACTTCCCCTCCAGCTCTACCGCCGCCTGCCTGTCTGCTGATAAGCTTCGGTTGTAATCACTTCAAATGACACAATTCCCATTCAAATTAGCATCAAAGCGCTGCCAGAAATAAGTGGAAGCAGATGCCCCTGTGCCCATAAGTGAAATGATTTGTTAATTTCATTACGGCAGGAGTGGGAGAGCCCAGGCAAAATTACTCCCCTCGACTCACATACACACACACACACACACGCACAAAATCCCACAAAGGACGATGAAAATTGCTTATCAAAAATATGGCAGGATGATATGATGGGGGGCAGGAGGCGCACATAAATTTGCATGCCTTTATTGCAACCACAACAAAATGCGAGGGCAGAGAGGAGCAAAGCAGAGCGCAGAGCAGAGCAGAGCAGGCCCAAGCAAACAAACGGAGAAACACTCACACAGTGACACACGTACACACACACCCAGCATACACTTACATCCGCTTTACTGGTTTTTATGCAACCGCCGCGGCACTTTGTTTGCACACTTGTAAAACACCTGCAGAACGAACGCCTTCAGCTGCTGAATACACATATGAAGTAATGACTTAATTGCCTCGCACCCTGCCTGCCCCTGGAGCACCATCCACCCCCCCATCCGATTGATCCAACCGCGACTCTTTCGGGACTTTTGCCTGCGAGTGGGCTTCATAATTCCGTGCAGGTGTCGAGGGTGTTTTGTCTTTGATTGTTCGTCACGAGCGCGACTCTAATCTCTGCCAGCCACAGCTACAGCCCACCATCATCATCCACAGGAGCAGTAGCACAAGTGGGAGAAGGAGTAGCATCTTTAGCCTTGCCACTTGAGCCAAGAGCTGTAGCTGTAGCTGGAACTGGGACTGGGACTGTGTCTGGCTCAGGGTCTGGGTTCAATTGAAGCAATTGTGCGACGTTGATTTGTATAATTTCGTAATTTGTATACCAAATTGTGGCCACACATGTGTGTGTGGGGGGTGTGTGTGGGGGGGGGTAGGGGGGTGTGGGTGAGCCCAGTAGAAGCTATTTTCAGGGTAAAAATGTATAAATAAATTAAAATGTATATGCAAATAGAACTGCTGCTACTGGGAAGTTTCAAAAGTATGCACACAGTGCAGAAATGTTTTTATTCCAAGTTAAAATATTTCATCATTAATGAGTTAGAATTTCACTACCACAAAAAATGTATTTCCAGAAATATTTGTGCACAATTTGGTGGCCAGAACTCTTTTGTTTTCAATACTCGTGGAACGCCCCAATCGAAAGCAGTTGTTAAATGTAATTATCGGAATACTTGCCACAAGTATGGCTTACAATACACATACACATACATATGTACATATAGTACTTATGTGGATATGTGTATGCAGCGCAGACCTATGGCCCTTAAGTGGCTTGCACGTGGCCACAAGAATGATGCTGACTTGGAGTTTCTACGGGGTGTGTGTTATGCTGATGGCTAAACATCAGACACGCGCCTCTGGCACAGCTGCTGGTGACGACTAACCCGGGCTTGGGGGGGTACTGGCCCACTCCTAGCTCTCTCTTGCTCACTGCTTCGCTTTCATGTGAGGCTCTAATGTAAGTCATTTCGTGTTATCTGATTTTAATTTGGCACAATTTCCCTTTTCGCACCTGTTGTGACCTGAGAATCCCCCCACTACACACAGGCACAGCCCCATTAAAAATATGCAAATATAAATATGCTAATTTGCTGAAAATTGATTTTGCAATTTAATTGAAAATTCCAGAGCTTGTTTCTTGTTGTTGTATTTGTTGTTGCTGTGGCTGTACGCATACGAGTACATTTATATGTACATGTATGTGCTACATGTGGTAGAGTTGTCGCTGCGGTTGTTCGAGCAGCTGCCACAAATTGCATAAATACGAACAATACTCGAAACGTTTCCATCTTTCGCACATCATTTGCAACTTTTTGATGCTAGGCTGCTTTTAATGGCATTAAAATTGCCAAAATTACAACACGAACACAACGCACACACACACATACACAGGGAATCCTCTTTAAAATCAATAGGAACAAAGTTCAATAAGAGTCGTTGTTCGAATGGCAATGGCAAATGTCCCAAGTTCGGCTTGGGGACATTCGACATCGGTCCCGTCCCATCCCGTCCCTTCCTGACAAATGCTGCGACTGATCTATGGCCCCGGGCCCAGACGGCCTCAATAAATTCCGTTTCGACTTGCAAAATTGTCGTGTGTGAAATGGGTGTGGAGGGAGGTGCGGCTTTGGACGAAGCACACAAACATGTGTGATAAATGTGCGGCATTTTTTGAGAGCAATGCAAACATGACACCTTAAACTACAATCGAAAATAATTGCATTTTTCCACAATCGCTCCACACATAATCATTATGAAATATATGTCAGCAAAGATGAGAGAGAAAATATAGAAATAAAAACGAAAACGACAACGACAAGAAAGAAGTCAGAAGTCAAAAGTCAGGACAATCCCTGACCAGACAATTGCAAAAAGTCAGCGGAATGGCAGCGAACATGGTCAGCCAAGTGATAACAACATACAGGCGAACATGAGTATCTGTGTGTGTATAGTGCGTGTATAGCGTGTGTGTGTGTGTGTGGCACAGTTTGGCAACATCATTTATCTTGTCTTGGCCCGGGCACACCCAGAGATTCCAGAGAGTCAGAGTCGCCTGCAGTCTCCTGAATTGGACCAGGACCAGGACCAGGACCTACTGCTGCTGACCAAAAAGAAAAAAAAAAGGAAAAATAACTAAAAATACGTATATTTTTTTCTCTATTGCTATTTATTGCTGAATTCACTTATTTTCGTATGTGCCTCGAAGGCAGTGGAATGTCCGACTCTATTTTTCACATTAATTGGCATGGGTTAAGCGGGAATGTAGTTCGAAAGATGTTCATTGAAATCGTCTGAAACTTGATGGTCGATTGCAAAGGTCACGGGTACAATTATCACAACAACATCGCAAATTATCACAATTTTTTATATGCAGCAGACGAAGGCAATAACGGGGGATTTGAAGCGTAATGACAGGGGCTCTTGGGTTCGTTCGTGTTTGCGTTTTGGTTTTTGGTTTTTATGTTGGCCAACTGGCAGACGGCGCAATTAGGCCGTCAAATGTGGCAAGCAAAGGACAGCGACTCCGTGTGGGATGTCGACCAAGGGCAATCCTCTTCTTTTAGCACTCACAAATATGTACATATATCCCACACTCAAAGACGAAGCTGTGTTGGGCCTTTTGGGCTGGCAAACAATCGAAGATTTATTGTCCCTTGGCGGATTCCTTGGCAGTGTGCGAATTTGCAAAATATACGCTCGAATATCGAATATATTTCTGCCGAAAAGTTATGTGTAGGCGACGCACATGAGTATGCTATACTTTGGCCACAAATCATAATCGATTCAGTGACAGGCGGCCTTTCATTGTGTCCCATTGCCTCTCTGACCCAGTCCCAGTGCCAATCCCAGTCCCAGTCCCATTTCCAGGCCTAGTTCCTGCGGTGGCTTTAAGCCAGAAACATTGTCAGAGGGGTTACCATGCGGGCCTCCATTGTTCACGAAATTTCCTTTCAATTCATTCCAAAAACTTATTCATACACGAAAGTCCTGTGACGTCCGTAGCAGATTTCTCGGTAATTACACAATTTGCAGACTTTGCTCGATTTTGCTTTACAAGCACGAAACAATTTACGCAGACAGGATTAGCCGACTTAGGAATTGCTTGCTCAGTGTTTTCGTCAATTGTTCTACTCGATGTCGATGTTGATGTTGATGTCGATGTCGATGCCGGTGTCGTCTGGAGGCCAAGGACGAGTCAGGCAAGCTTTTAAGCCGATTTTTATACAGGCTTCCTTCTACATTGGTACCTCCGAGGCCAGGCTGTCCTTAGCTGCCAATACTTGTAGGAGTATGTGTGAAATTAATACAGAGATACGTTGAGACAACAAACAGCTCATATGACAGCCAAGGTGATGGCATTATATTTGGGTGCTAAAGATTTTTGCATGAACAAACGGACGCATGTAGTGGGAGTGGGAGTGGGGTTGCACACGGAGAGCAAGAAATACGTTCCCCATAACTTCAGTTCATTTCATTTCATTTCTGTTCGCTCCTGCCGGAGCATTGCAAAGCTGAGCTGAGCTGCTTATTGCTGTTTACCATATTTGTGCTTATTTGTTTGTCGACTGTGGCAAATATTTGAATTTGAATTCAAACGTGCTTGACACATAATACTCCGCCCCAAGGCATCAGCCTTCGTAGCCCATTTCGCTGTGCAAATATTTTATGAATTTCAATGCGCCACAAGCATTGTGGAGCTTTGGATCGAGGGGTGCGCTGCACTCTCTGGCATTGGCACTGGCTCTGGCAGTGATTCAGACACTGAATCGGATTCAGCGTCTGGTTTTCTGGTTATGGGTCTATGTCTGCCACACGGGCAGGTGACAAAAATGCGCCAGCAAATAAAAGGCAACAAAATGTGAAATTAGTTTGACACGTGTACAAAGATGAGGCAGACAAAAAATCCGTAAAGAATACAAGTACAAAATCATCGGGGCTCAGACACTTCCAGGGATTTTTTTTGGGGGCTAGAATCGTGTCATATCTACAGCGAAAATATGCAAAGTTTGCGTAAAAAACGTTGAGATGCTGACGGAACCTGACATCACATCACATCAGCAGTGCCTACCTTTCTTGGGCATAATTAATGCTTCAGTATCGAAAGCCAA